TGGCTGCCACTTACTGAACGCTTTTGCGTGCCGAGTCCTTTACAGAGAGGAGTCTTCAGAAAGTTCATGGGAATGCATATCATGACAAAAACTATGCACGGCTTTCTTTCTTCCGTCTTTCCTTCCTCCTCTCCTTTCCCTTCCTTTCCTTTCCTTTCCTTTCCTCCTCTCCCCTCCCCTCCCCTCAAAAAAAGGGGGGCACCAAAGTAAACCTGTACTTTAATTTCACAAACTTGCCGAAATCCCTTTGTGTGTTACCTCATTTATGTTGAGTAATACTACCTACGAAGGAAGTAGGATTAGCACGGTTTTACAGGTGAACAGAGGTGCAAGAAAGGTGAGGTTACACAGCTGTCAAGTTAAAGAATCTGGATTCAGGAGTCCAGCGTGTCACCACTCTTTTTAAAAAGTCCCTCGCCTCAGCCCTGCTGGCGTGGCCCGCGGTGTAGCGCCAAGCCCGTTTGGTAGTGGATGTGTCGCTCCATTGTATGGACAGTGCTGGCAGGAGTTCATCCTCGAGCCTCTGCAGAGGTGCTGCCTCCCACGTGTCCTTCCCCGCTTCTCCAGGTTGCAAGTCCTACTTGGGCTACAGTGGCCGGTACGGGACACTGAGCACCAAGGAACGTGCTGTCCACTTCCCAGCCCGCTGTTCCCTCCCGCCCTCGCCCCACACCCACAGTCCCCTTCCCGGACGGAGCTGGCAGATGGGCTGAGAGCAGACCTGTCACCTTGCCAGAGACGCTGGCTCTTTCTTCCCTGGCAGGGCCTTGAAATCAGAGCTGCGCTGCCTTCCAGGGGGTGCCTCCGTTTACATCCCAAGGCGTTTGTTTTGTGAAACCAAGCTCTGCATCTCTCAGGGAATTTTCCTCTCCGCCTAATGTCATAAAGGCACTTAAGTGTGTTGGCACTCTCCCCTCCTCCCGAAGAACAGACCGCATCTTGTTCCAGCTTTAATAGTTTTTCCTTCTGTGTTAGTGTCTATTTACCTGTTCGAATTTATGTGCTCGCTTGGTGTCAGTGCTGTATATTGGGAGCGTTTTTATTCCAGGTACTCTGAAATCATAGTGTTTGGAGTAGGCTGTTGCCTATTGTCCCAGATTTGATTAACAAGGATCCAGAACTTTCAGGATTTCTGTCTTGGAGAAGAGCTGGAAGTGGTGAACTTTGGAGTTCTCCACACTCGCCCTTTCCAAGGCCAGCCAAGTGGTGGTGCCTGCCCAGGCTTGGCGAGCGTCTGTGGGAGAGCGTGTGTGTGGGGGGGGGTTGAACCACCCCTGTCGCTGGTCTGCAGCCAGGTGCCTGGCCTGTGTCCCAGCCCGTCACTTGCAGGTTAAACAGCCCTGAGCATCCTTTGCCATTTCTAAGACGGTGGTTCCATCTTCTGTGAAATGCGCACGAGAACCGCGTCTAACTTGGGGGTGGTTGTGAGTCTCGAATCCAATACGTTGTGCCTGGCTCTTAGAAATGTGCAGAATATTTTGACTGTTTCGATTTGTACATGTCTTTTAAAAACTCTTTCTTTTCTTTTTAAAATGCTGTTTGTCGTGCCGGCAGTGGTGAGGTGGTGAAGGCAGCTGGATCCCACATGGCCAGTTGTGCCATTTCAGTCATAGACCCAGGGTCTCGAAAAGCATGCAGGACGCATGTGTGTGTGCCCAAAATCCTGAGAGGAGGGAGAAATGGAGGAGAAGGGATGCTGCTGTGACCATGTGCCATGGCGGGCTGCTTGGTTTCTTCTCCTGTGCCCCGCGAGCATACGTGCTCTCTGAAACACTGAAAAATAGCACTGGTTTTTTTTTTTTTTGAGAGGTTTTTGCTATAGGGCGCGTTCGCTCGCCAGACAGACAGAGAGACAGAAAGCAAGAAATCACCCCCCAGGGGGGATGGCCACGCCACAATCCCTTCTCCTCCATTCTCCTCTCGGGATCTTGGGCACGCACGCACACGCGCCCGGCGTGAGTTTTAAGCCACTGGGTCCAGGATGCGAACCACGGTCGACCACGTGGGAGTCCAGCGACATAGCCATTACGCTATCTGCTGGTCCCAGCACTGTTTTTTCTTAATGCTGTTTTTCAAGCGGGCATTAGAGAGAGTACTGTGTCGAGCGGAGTGGACGAGTGGGTCAGGGAGCGCAACGGCAGCTAGACCACAAACCATCCCTTGGGGACAGTAATGTAACCATAGGGCTCTTTACTGGCTTTAATTTCCACGAACATCAAAAAGAGATGAAGAAGATTTGGGGTAGAAAATCCAAAAGAGTCCCTAGAAATGTAATCAGAAGCTAGGGTACACATAAAATCCAGCCCCCTCCTAAGACTGGAACTTCCTGTCAGTGCACGCGGTGATGGAAACAGGGTCCGCACGGGGATGGTCACCTGTCCAACCGCGACACTCGGCTGTGAAGCCTCACTGTGGAACGCCGTGGACATGCTGGCTTTCATATCCTGATTGCATTAGGACTCTCGGGGCCCCGCTCGGTCTCCTGGAGTGCCCACCCCACGTGTGTCCCATGTGTCTATGTACGTTTCCTGTCCACCACCGTGACATCTGGCCAACAGCTGTTGTCTGTGTGGTGATGGGTGTCCGTCAGTGATATCGAGAGATTGATAGGGGCCCCGGGGAGTCCCAGCGTGTAAAATACCTCAGGGAAGTGTAAGGCGGCCAGAGTCACAGGGCTTTCATATCCAGCCCCCTCCTAGCAGGTAGGCCTTTGGTCCTGGGTGTTTCATGTGATAACACTTGAACGTGAATGCAAGCAGTTAATGCACTGGATTAATCATACACTCAAAAATGGCTAAAATGGCCCAGCAGGTGGTGTGGTGGTTGAGGCATTGGACTCTCACATGGCTGGCTGTGGTTCGAGTCTCAGACCTGGCAACTTGCTGCTTGCTTTCTCACTTTCCCTCTCTCTCTGTCTCTCTCTTTTTCTGGTGAGTGCATTGCCATATAGCAAATTTTAAAATGATAATATTAAATAAATAATTCTTTTTTAAAAAAAACATGGTTATGATGGGGCTAGCCCCATGGCCTAGTGGTTAAGGAAGCTGGATTCCATATGACCAACCACACGATTCAAATCCTGGACCCTTCAGGTTGAAAATACACTGGGTGTATGTGTATGTGTGCCCCAAATCCCGTCAGGATGGCGAAGTGGAGGAAGAGGGGATGCGGTATGACCGTTCCCCATCGAGGGTTGCTTTTTCCCTCTACTTATCTCTCTCAGTCTTGCCGTTTCTTCCTGGTAAACACATGCAACCCTCTGGGAAATTAAAATGGTTAAAATGGGAAATTCTGTATTACATATATTTTACCACAGTCTTTATAAATTAACAATGGACTATCTACCAAAAGCACCATATGCTTTAATAGGTGGGCTGAATGGGTGCTGTACGTGTTAGATCCCAATAAAGCTGTTAAAACATGTAAGAACATTTTCATAATCTCCCCCTAGTTACTATCGGTACAATAATATTTCTGTCGCATTGTTGCATTTAACTTATTCAGTATTTTTTTATAGCGAGGAGACTGGATTTCTGTCACTGCTTTATGGGCTTTGTCTTGAACACATTTCACACACGAAGATTCTGGTCACCGCAGTGTGCACTCCAAGCTCGGCACTGACCCTTGCATGCCAGCAGGATCTCCGGCTCCCTGTGCTCAGGGACCACAGTGCTTTGATGTGCGGAGATTGTCACATTGTTTTGTTTTTCTGGGTTTATTATTATTATTATTTAGTGTTTTTTCTGATCTTTGAACTCACTGGGCTGGCTGGAAACGGATGCCTCTCCTGCATTCTGTAGTGTGGCCTCGTGGACCGGTGGATAGTCCTCTCTTCCACACTCCGTGTGTTCCTTCTCTGCATCCTCCTCGTCCATGAACATTGGACTTCCTGGATTTTCTTATGTCTTCTATTTTTCATCTATGCCCTTTTGTTTCCAGGTCTGGAATATTTCATCCTCTTTACTTTTCCATCATGCCCTTTAAAAAAACGTTTATCGTGCTTTTAATTTCCAAGAGTTCATTCTCTTCGTTGCTAAGGTAAAAGCAGGAATTGATTCCTGCGTCATGGGTGGAAAGCCTTATCTCCTGAGGACATATGTTGCCAGGATGCTCTTTTCACTTCCTTCTGCTGCTTCTAATGTCTCGGTCTCCCGAATGCCTGTCTTTCTTGTTGGTCTGGTTTCTGTCGTTCTTGCAATGTCTGTGGTTCTGGAGTCTGTTCGTGATGAAGAGAGGGGTGCTGAAAAGTGACCAGCCGTTCTCTGCGCCATGGCCAGCCATTGCCTGGAGGCTTCACCTGAGAGGTTGGGGTGCCACGTTTCGGGACCTGAAAAGGGAGAAAGGCTGCAGGGCTCGTCCCTCACGATGCAGACCGTTCACCTGCGCTTTCCTGTCTGCTGCGGTCACGTCTCCATGCGCAGAGCTTTGGCTCCGTTCTCTAGCTTGGGTGCCGGAAGAGAGACTTCTGGCTGAGTAGGGTAGAGAGTGGGTTTGTGAACCCGGGTCTAACTGCTCCTTCTGTAGGTTTTTAGCCAGTCCTGTCTTCCACCCTTCCCTCCCCTCCCATGGGGCAGGCGAATCGACTTCCTGAGCTCTGGTGGACTCGGGCCACCATGGCCTCCTCCTGGGTAGGCACTCGGGTGTCACTCGGGCCCTCTGAGAAATGCGTGAGCACAGCTCGCCAGCCACTGTCTCCTCTCCCTTCTGTGTCGTCAGTTTATGCTCTTGCAGTCATCAGCTGCCATTTGAGTGGGTTGGGGCAGGGAGTGCTTTTAATCTGCCATGTTTAACCACAGTCTCTTCAGCTGCAGAAATCCCCTGCTCCTTTTCAGTGGTGTGACACCCAAACTTAATCAGAGGGAGACGACAAATTCTGAGGGGACGGTTTTGAACAGTTGCTTAGCCCTCGAGTTAGCCCAGCGTGTCTGGGCTCCCCAGTGATGTCGGCCAGCCCCACTGTCACAGCTCCCCCCTGACACCCGTTCGTCTGCCTCTTGCAGAAGTGGAGCAGCGTGAGCAACCCCCTCTTCCTCCCGCTGATCCCTCCCCAGTCTCAAGGGTTCACCGCCATCGTCCTCACCTATGACCGAGTGGAGAGCCTCTTCCGGGTCATCACGGAAGTGTCCAAGGTGCCCAGTCTCTCCAAGCTGCTGGTCGTCTGGAATAATCAGAATAAAAGCCCTCCAGAAGGTAAGACAAGCGAGAAGAGGTGTGGTCAGGAGAGGCCTGGTGTGGGCCTCAGCACAGCTGACTGCTGCACCGATTTGGGATGGCCGGATTATTGTCAGCCTTTGCTCTAAATGGATATTTCTGCTCTGCCAACAATTCCATTTCTGAGGCGGCATGCCCCCAGTTTTCTCAGTCATCTCGTTTTGTTCTAGGGTGGCCCGATGAACTCCAGGCCCTGGCACATGTGGAGCCACCAGCGTTGGAGGGCTTAGGCATCACTAGATCAAAGGCTATCAGCCTTGGGAAACCAGAGCTCGGCTGCCTCAGCCTGAGAACTCCACTGCTTTGTTTAGATGTAAACTCACTTTAAAAGGCATTCGATTTCTCCCTCCTTATCTCAGCTCTGATACTGAGCTCTCCTGGAAAAAGTAAAAAAAAAAAAAAAAAAAAAAAAAAGCTGGCCTCACTTCTGATTGGGAAGGTCTCAGCAGAGTATCCTGTATCCTGGCCCGACTTCAGGGCAGGTGCTTACGGTGAGCTCTCCAAGCAGCGCCGCTGGCTCACCCCTCAGCACGCCGGGCCTTGCCTTGGCCGGCCTGGGCGTCTGCAGGCTGGCAGCCGGGCTTCAGGACCGTTTGATGAATTGGATTTGTTTTTAATTCGGGACCCGTAGAGTCTGTTCCACCTGCATTGAGTTTCTTATTCAGTCCGTCCATTACCGATCCTAATCCTGAGGACTTCAAAGCCCCTGCCGTTTATAGCCTATTAACGCCAGGAAGTTTCTGATGGATTAGAGCGAGGACCGAGTTTGAAGTTTGTACTCTGCACCACTGTCGCCGATAAGGCCTGCTTTATTGCCTGACAGTCCTATCTGCACTTTTTATGGCCGGCCTCTTTTAATTGGTTGTACTGAGGTTGAGATGGTTCGCCGTGGAAACTAGCGGCCGTGAGCTGGGGTCTAGACTGCGAGAAGACCGCATCTCAGTCTCCGCCACACAGACCAGAATCGGCCTCCAGAAAAGTCTTCGGTTTCTCATGAAGCAGTTAACATTTTGTAGTTTGTGGGGTTTCTGTTCTCTGAAAGAATCACAGTTTGTGTTTAAATTTGCAGAGCCACAGTTTAAGTAAATAAAATGACTGTTTGAAATGCAGGGCCTATATTATGCCCTGAAGCATAACAGCTTTTTTTTATTTTAATTAACTAGCTTTTTTTTTTTTTTTTTTGGAGAGATTTTCACTGTAGGGCGCGTGCGCTCGCCAGACAGACAGAGAGAGACATAGAGACAGAAAGCGAGAAATCACCCCCCAGGGGGGATGGTCACGCCGCAATCCCTTCTCCTCCTTTCTCCTCTCGGGATCTTGGGCACGCACGCACACGCACCCGGCGTGAGTTTTAAGCCACCGGGTCCCGGACGCGAACCGCGGTCGACTACGTGGGAGTCCAGCGACATAGCCATTACGCTAACTGCTGGTTCCCATTAACTAGCTTTTTATACCAAAGTTTTCCTCTCCCTCTATGTCAACATGACTACATAGCCTGTCTGCTGAAGTTTTGTTTTTTTCAGTTCTTAGTGAAGGAGAAGTAAAGGGGCAGAAAGGAAAGGAGGGTGTGGGCATCACCCGAAAGTGAGAACGAGAGGGCCAGAGAGGAGGGACAAGCGGAAAATGAAAAGGGGTCCTGTGGGGAGGGGCGCCAAGGGAGGAGCCCGCACAGTTGGCTCGGCCCCTTTACCCAGAGTGAAAGGGGAAGGAGATGGCTTTGCATTCCTTCACTTAGAGAGGCTGGGTCATGTTGTAAGAGGGAAGACTGGGCCCAGCTGTTGGCTTGGTGGTTAAGGCAACTGGCTCCCACGTGGCCAGCTGTGCAGTTCGAGTCCCAAATGCAGTGGCTTAGAAAACAAAAACATGCCAGATGCCTATGCGTGTGTGCCCAAACCCTAAAGGGGGAAATGAAGAGGGGATTGCGTGTGGCCATCTCCACGGAGGGTGCTTTTTCACTTCCTTCTCTCTCTCTCTCACGAGTGCACAGGCTCTCTGTGCCCTCAGTGCGTATGCACCGTACGCACTGCCCACTGGAGCTGGGACAGCCTGTGGAGTCGTCTTGTGCTCATTCCCACCTTGCACGTGCTCCTAGGTACAAAGACCACCAGCTGTCAGCCTGCAGCCTGGCCCAGAGAGGCAGCGATACAAATTCTGGTGCTGAATGCACAAGAGCCTTCTCATAATAGCCCTGGTTAGCTGCTTTGGGCATAAGTGAATTATTTAGTGTGACTCCAGTCACTTCTGACCAGGTAACTATGAGAATGGAGAACTCTTTCTTTCTTCTTGTCCTAAGTCTGCACACTGACACAACCAAAGGCAATCTCACAAACCTAGGTTTTTGGATCTGAATATTCATTTTTAACTTTGAATAGACCCTACTAAAATTTAGTGGTTGATTTTTCTGATCAATAATTTAGTTGATTTTTAAAAAAATATTTTGACTTCAGGGAGAAAGAGGGCTCTTAACTGATGAGACCCTAATGTTGACACTTGTAATGACTGGACTGGCCTTTTTCTAACAGTGATTTTCAGGTCAGGACTCACTTCTGGTGATGTGGTTGTTTGGGAGGACATGAACCACGTTTAATCTTCTGTGGGTGTTTATTCAGTGGGTAGATGGGGCTTTCAGCTCTGGCCCTCATACCAACAAAGGCTTCTGATTTTTCACATATAACCTTCGAAACATATATTTTTTTTTTTGAAAATCCAAGGCTTTGAAATATTATAGGTGAAAATGATGTTTTTGACTTTCTGTACATTTGCTAGAATAAATACAGTGGTTAACATGTCTGTCTCTGGGAAGATTGGTATAGGCAGAAATCTACCCCCTTCCCACTTTTTGTTTTTCCTTTCTTTTTTCATTCTTCAACCTAACCAAATTTTTTCTTGTGGTTACATTTAGGTCTAAATTGCTGGTTTGAAGTTTAAGTAAATACTTAGAGTAGGCAATAGAAATTTCCAGTGGGCTTTCGTCACATTAGTTTCAAGCTCTAGTTAGGAAAAAAAGTTAAGTTACTGCCTTCCCTCTCCCCCATCCTTCAATTTCCACTCTCGATGAGTCTGGAGGTTATTTGGCTTGGCCCCTGGCCTCAGCACGGAGGAAGCTGTTG